TTTACATTAACTTATCCTTAGAAAGTATAAATAATTTTCCTGATTTTAATACATATTTCATTATTCATCTATTCAATCCTTAAACTATTTGTATTTCCCATTAGAAAGACAGAAAAATCCCCAACATTTTCACTGACTTCTCTGCGATTTGAATGTTTTGAAACTTCCCTCCCTAATGGCCCCGCCCCCGTAACTCATAGTTTCCCAAATTCTCGCTGACCATTGCAATGAGGCGCGTCCGAAGTCGGCTAATTAAAACTAAACCCTTTTGCTTTGTACCCACCCACCGAATCGCATCGGGATTTAGGATTCGGACGAAGGACCCGCGTTAATTGCCGGAGTCTTCGAAGGCAGTTTTTGCACGCCGAACTAGAGCCGAGCCGAGCGGAACCAAAGTAAGCCACACTTTCCGGAAAGCCGGACTAGCGGCGATCCTTGGGAGCGAAAGTCAAACTCGGAGTCAAAGGATTAAGAATGCGGATCCTGAATCCGAAGGATCAATCTGGCCGAAAGGGGTGCGGCTGTGTTTTCAAAATACTCGTAAACAAAATACTCGCAAAAGTGCAAGGGGCAACGCCCAGGATTCCGAGGTGTTGATGCTGACCTAGATGTCCTGCGAAGGGATATGGTGGGATAGTACATATATAGACATCGATTTCGATTTTCTGGTGGGCGAGGACGAGAGTGTCCTTGCTCGCGACCGCGGGGGCTGCCTTAATTGCCTGCAACTAATTATGAATAGTGGCAAAAGGAGTGAGAGCCGGGAAAACGGACTATGGTAAAAGGGAAAAGCAGATATAGAAAAGGGAAACTAACCCGAAAATTTTGGGAAGCGAAAGGAGTATGGCACTACTGTTTGTCCTTGCCGCGATTGTCGTCATTGTTGTTTGCAATTGTCATCTTTATAGATGATGCCATTGTCCCTCGGCCGCCGGCACCCGTAAAACTCGGCCGGATTAGTGGCGTACAGCTAGCGAAAGGATTAAAACGAAATTAGACGCAGGTAGTCAGTCCCAGGCGGGAAACTCGCGGAAATCTCTCTCTTGTGCAAAAGGCTCTTGTCGATTGGAGAAGCTCAACTGAGCTCTCTGCTCAAAAGCGTAATTGAAATTAATTATGCGGGGGCCCTTAAGTGTAAGTACAACCTGCTCAATTATGCAAGCGGCAACTTTAAGAAGTTTTTCACACCCCTTTTTTTCCCGTCGCACAGGCGACAGATTCTCATAATTAATGCAGGCGATAAGTAAAAGGGGTTAAGCAAATTAATTGAGGGAGTCGAAAGTGGCAATACCCTTCTTGCTCTTTAAATGGGGAAAGACTTGGGCGAGTTTTTAGGTTTGATTTTGTCTTTAAAACCAGTAAAAAGTAAGGAAAAAGCAAGTCAGACTAAGCAGTTTTCTATTTTTGAGTTAAATTTCCACTTTTTATCCAAGTAATTGATGCAAAATTTTAACGATTTTCATAAAATGTTATATTTCCATGGATTTTCAGAAGGTTTTCCTTTAATGTTACTTGGATTTAGTTAGGAATTCTTCAGGTTTATGTAAGGCACTTTCTTCTTCAAGTTCTAATGTTTATTTCAAGTAAATTTGTAGTTAAAAACTATATCCTATTCCGTATTCCAGTTCCTGCTAATTCAAGTTTGAATATCCCTCAACATCAACCAGAATAACCCATCACCAAGACCTTAACCCTTTTTCGACTCCCACAGAAAATCGCGATATATCACCAGACTAGGGTATGAAAAGCCAGACAAAGTCTCATGTACTTTTTTTTCTGGGGGGATGTCGTGGGATTTTTCAAGGACAGGCCGAACCGCATTACGAACCGTAATGCCAGGCTTCTGAACTTTTCTCCTTTTTCCGCTCATAAAACGCCGCTTAATGCGACTCTTGTCAATAATCAATTTTCGCTGAGCCGCTCCGCCTAATAATGCCAATTTATTTTCATGGCTGGAAAGAAAAGCGCAGAAAACCGGAGCACCACCAAAATCGGAACACAAAAAACCAAAAAAAAAAAGAAAGGGGTTGCAAAAAGGAGTTATGCAAGGCGTATACACACACACACACACGTGAGCGGAAAATGCCGGCAATTTATCTGTTTGATTTTCAGATATGCCAAGTCTAAGTCCTGGAAAAATCGTCCAAGATAAGCGGAGCGACATCTCTGATATGGGAAGCAGTCAGGGATATATGCTGGATATATAGACATATATATATCATGTATGATTCGAGTCGGAGTTGCCTCGACACCATATCTTCATCAGACAGAAGGATTGCCTTAAATTAGCCATATCAAATGGGCGTGACTAAAGGAAAATTCATGAAATTATACAAAGTTGGGTAGCTGATAAATGTGATTTTGATTGGTTAGGTGAAGTATAGTTTTAATTTTATTTAAATATTTAATAAATACTTAAAGTTGAGTGAAGTTATTAAGGTTGTCTTGCTTTTCTTTAGGAAAACTCATCTGCAGTTTATTCCTAAAAAAAAATCAATCTTTCTGCACTTTGTTAAATGTTTAATAAATCAAGACTGCCATTGAAATCGTTGAATTGTAAAAGTTTGTTTCATTGAGATTTTGTTTTATGGCTCCCCGATGATTTACTGTGCATTTTCCCGGACTTTTCAAGTGCATTTTCGAGTGTTTGTTGACCTTTAAGGGATCGCTCTACGGGAAAGTGGTTGCCCATTCATGGAGAAGAGAGACATCTTCATCGGCAGCAGATGCCACCCAAATTGGCCAAACTCTTTTGTGACCAACTTGGCCATTAACTAATGGCCAGAGTTGCAAGAACAAAGCCAACGCAGGTGGCCCCTTTTGAGTTCTTTCGTCCAGTTCTGGCCAAGAATGAAAGTCAGATACTATAGTCTTCTTCTCCATTGGCCACACACGCACCAGAAGACAAAAGACCCAAAGATACACCTCACCTAATGACAACAATTAGGGCAGCAGGAATTCGCTCGATGACTAAACAAGATTTCCCCAGGACTTCTGCAGGACACTCGACAACATAATCAGGCAGCCAACTGCCACGTGGGGTGCCCAAATGCCAAATGCCCAAAATCCAAGGCATCAGAAACTGAACGAGAAGGAGAACGAGAACGAGAACGAGAAACACCAGGACATAGATGCATGGACAAATGGCGCAAAAATTGCAGACACTTCAATTATGAGTTGGGTAAATATTTTTGTGCAAACAACGCAACAGGATATCGATCCAGTGAGGCATTATCGAAATCTGCCCATGTGCAATGTGAATAACTCAATTTGACACAAAAGTCAATGGATGAGCTCGGCTGCGAATCGGAATCCAAGGAAGCCACCCCGGAAGCCAAGGCAAACACAGACCAACTCGAGGACCCCGCATTGTTTTGCCAGATCAACGGGGAGCCCTATATATGTATGTATGCTTACATATATGTAGGTATATAACTAGCAGATATAGATGTTCTTTTATTTCCGAGTTTAACGTTGACTTTTTATGATTATTTAAAAATCTAATCAAGAAGTTTATCCTCTCAGAGTGCTCATTTGTTTTTGTAAATACTCCCTGCATATGGGCTTGCTCGGCCCTTATAAGCTTTCAGCTTTCGCGGCGCTATTCCACCAACATTTTTTCGTTTTCCTCCTTCCACCTCATTCCGTCACCGACTGCAATGTAATCTGTTGTTGTTTCTTTCTGGATCATCCTCGAACTCCTTGTTGTTCCACCATCCTCTTTCCTCTCATTCCATCGCTAACTGTTCTTAATTCTTCCTCGATCATCCTCGCATGCACTGGAAATCACTTCTTGTCACTTCTGTTTGCACTTTCAAGTTTATTTCGCAGTGGGGACCATTGACGCGAGTGTTGAAATGAGTGATGAAGTGGTTAGCAAAAAGAATGTGTTTTTCTTTCTCTCAGTGCACAGTTGCAAACCAACACAAAAAAGTCCCTAAATATGTGCACGTTGTCATGCTTTTGTGTTAGTGTAAGCTCTGCCGTAAGACGAATTTGAGCAGCCCTGGCTTAGAAGGCATAAACTTAAATTCACCTCAGAAAGTTTATTTTTAGCTATAAAAACGTTTACATAAATCTATATTTCAAGTACATATGTATGTAAGTATATAGTAAACAAGAATATCTTTTGAAAAGTACATTACATAACCTCGTTATTCAATAAACAAACATTTACTTTCAAACACAATTGATATTTGATATTATTTTTGTTCGCCAATTTGTTTCGACATATCGAGTAGGTCTTCTGTTTTTTTGCGCACACTTTTCCGGGCAGCTGTTGTTGGCTGGCCTTCTGCCTGGATTTACGGTTAAGAATGTTTGGGACCGGCATCTCGGATTGCGTAAGCCATAAAAATCCAGGCTAAGATCCTTCTGCGAATGAGGATCCTCGCGTGTCAGCCTAAAAAACTAAAACTGCACGCAACTGGAGGAAAAAATGAAGACAAAAAAGCAAGGCACAAAAAGGATATATCCACGCGTCATAAAAAGGCCACGAAAATTCCAGTGAAAAATTGAAAAACTCTCGACAACATTACGCAAAACGCAATCGGCGAACCGAGACTGTAAATCAAATAATAAAAAAATCGCCACGAACGAACAAAAAAATAACGAAACTTGCCTTGGTTACGGTGAGTCCTGAGTTCAGTTTTTTAGTTCTGTAGCGCAGTTTTTTTTTTTTGCGATTTCCTTTGAAAAAAATTGGCAGAAAAAACGCAAAATTTTTTATGACTGATCCTGGGATCAGGATTTATGACCCAGGCCTAGATGATGTAACCGTAAGATCCCCGGCGAATATCGCGAATATCATAAAATGTGCGGCTGCTAATGAGGTGCTGACTGGAAAAGCGAGGGGAAGTTATCGATAGCTATTAGTGGAAAATACAAGCAGTCTCATTACGACACTAACTAAATCTAGTAACCCTGGAAAATGCAATCAAACGTCTCAGTGAGTCAGATGGACAAAGTTACCACAGACTTTCTTTTCAGTCTTTTCTACATTCGTAACGTGTAGTATTTTCAAGGCCAACAGCATTCGGTTATTTCTAAAAACTAAATTTCTTAATCTGTTTTTTACTCACCTCCAAAATGTTCCATCGAGGCTTAAAGAAATTAAGTGAGTAACTAAGTGGCCTAAACAATTTGGTCATCACTCAAAATTAAATCATACTTAATAATTAACTAACTAATCATTCAAAATTCCTGCAGGATTCCGACCTTTAGCTAGGTCTGTCAGTTTTCTGATTCGCAGCTTTTCTGGGAATTCCCGGAGAAAGCCGAAATTTGTGAGGTATCTTCCGATAGCCTCCAAGAGCAATCTCTTCAACTGGCCAACACCCCAGAGGTACCCACTTGAAAGGCCTGTCTTCGAGAAGGATGACAAGCCCTATTCCGAATTCCACATTGAGAATACTCGAATCCACGAAAAGTGGCAACAAAATAGATGCGGTGCCAACGAGCAGGTTTGTTTAACTTCTAATTTGTATTAACTTATTACAGGTAACCCTTATTTCTCGAGAGCAGCACAGCCTTCGTAGCCATCAACCAGCCAGTTCCGAGGTTTCCCTCAACTCATACGAAGCCGTCAGCGCCATAGAGAAAGTGCGGCAAAGTGAGGAGCGCCGGAAGATTCAGAACCGGTTGCGCTACCTCATGGAGGAGCAGCAAAAGCTCGACGAGCGAATCCAGGACGAGCAAGATCGTATGGTTCGCGCTCCGGCCCAACGGGACGTTCCCAGGGAGTATGCACCTAATCGTCATCCGGAGATCAGCAAGCCAGGTTCCTGGGCTTCAGCGACCGTTTTGGCGGTCACGGGAAAAATGCAGCACCACCGTTACATAAAGCAGCCGGCTTGGATGTACACCGATGCTGTCCAGGTGAGATCATAACATATCTCAAATCTTATCTAATCATCCTTTTTAATATCAAATTTGAATAGAAAATCCAAAACGAAGCCCAACCTGAGAGCACATCTAGACCAGATTCGGCATCCGACGGCAGCGACCAGCCCAAGACTGGCATCCACGACTGGGCCAAGTCCACCCTGGAACTGCAGAAGAGCGAAGCCAAAAAGATGGAGAATCTCCGGTGGCAGAAGAAATACTGCAACAAATCAGCCTGCCTGAAATTGTGTGATCTTTCCTCTCTATTCAAAATTAGAAATTACTAATCGCAAAAGAGGAGCAAAAATTATAGAGTAAGTCTTATAGATCACTGATCCTTTACCTTATATAATATAAGTTTATTCTTTCCAGGAAGCGTTTCGAAAATATCCGCATGAGCCCGATTAATCAACAGGAGTTGGAGTAACCTCCATATAGCTCCTGGTCGGCCGCGGACTTTTCGAGTCGACAACTTGTACTACTTACAGGATTCTCGCTTAAGTGCTACATTTTGGCGAGATTAACAAAATTGTATTTTATTTTTTGACAAGTTTTATAAACAATGTATTTGGATAAAAGAAAGCAGCTACTTTCATTTCAGTATTTAAAAAGGTTTTCTTTTCTGGCCTATTTATTAATGTATTTTGAAGAAGGGCTGCTCAAATTCGTCTTACGGCAGAGCTTATACTAACATAAATACAAGAAAACGTGCACATATTTAGTGACGCTTTTGTGTTGGTTTGCAGCTGTGCACTGAGAGAAAGGAAAGAGAGAAAGAATTCATCTCTCATTTCAACACTCGCGTCGATGGTCCCCACTGCAAAGTAAACTCCAAAGTGCAAACAGAAGTTACAAGGAATGATTTCCAGTGCAAGTGTCGGAGGATGATCGAGGAAGAAAAAAGAACAGTTAGCGACGGAATGAGGCGGAAGGAGGAGACCGAAAATTAGTTAGTGGAATAGCAAGGAGTTCGAGGATGATTGGGGAAGAAACAAGAAAAAATTGTATCGCAGTTGGAGGCGGAATGAGGCGGAAAGAGTAGAGCAAAAAGTATTGGTGGAATAGCGCCGCGAGCACTCAAAGCTTAGCAAGCCTACATGCATACATAAGTACATATGTATATGTATGCAGCGAGCGAAAAACATACATACAGTGGATCCAAGCTTATTTCGTGCAAGAAAAATTCGAATTTTTAATTTGATACTGCTACTAAACCAGCAGAGATATCAAAAAAAATTAAACGCAGTAATGTTAAGAATGTCGCATATTAATAAAATAATAACAAAAGATTTTACTAATTTAAAAAACAAAAGAATTTTTCATACAAAAACTAAAAAATAGGGCAACTCCGACGCACAAGCTTATTTCGTGCAAGCACTTTAAGGGTTAATAACTCTAAACTAGGACTTTTAAATCCATTTTTTTTCTTAATACTAGTAAAAATATATTAACAAAAGCATATTTATAAGTTTTCGAGGCTGGGGGCACCCAAAAATTACGGATTAACGAGGATTTTCAAACTATGGCGCCACGAATAATAGTCAACAGTTATTGGGCAAAGCGAATTAGTCCTTAAACATTTTAAGGATGGGAAAACCCAGGAAATGGTTGCCTCAAGCCCTAGTACAAACCCATACATAACCCAAACGCTTTTTTGCGAAAATCGGGTGGCAGAAAGGGGCGGTAATGGAAAAGTGAATTAAAAACAAGCGCCATAATCAAGTACTACGTCTATCAGTTATCTTCTATTGCGAACAGACGGCCGATGAGTTCGAAAACTTTTTCGCAATTTGTGAATGTAAAGAATGTGCTCTGCTTATATTCGTGTCCAGCTTAGCATTAGTTACAAGTTTTGACTTACAAATTTGTTTGGTAGAAATTTAAATATAAAGTCACCTTAGAAAACAAACTCAAGTCAAACTGAAAGGTGTAGTCATCCCTTTCTACAACAAGTAAATTTGGAACGAATACAGGAATATTTTATTTAAACTTTTCATTTCAATAAGAAGCAAAAATTATATTTAAAAATGGAGTAAGTGAGAACAATATAGGCATTCGTGGTTAAGAAACAGATCGGAGTTACAAGTGATTAAATGTGGACTTTTGTCACAGGTCGCAAGGTGTTCGCTTTTCCAATGATGTCCCGGAGACAAGTGTTGACGATTCTTCGGACACTTACCTTACTCTCCATTTCCCTGTGGCCGATGTTTGCAAGGTCATGTCTGAAATCGGAGGACCAGTCCTGTTGAGCAAGTTGGTGGCCCACTTCGAGGTAAGGATTCACTCCGAAGTGGCTCTTTTTTCTAAAATTCATAAATGTATGTTAACGCAGGGTAAGATGGCAGTTGGAGTTAGGCACAAGGCGTCGAAGTTTGTATGCCAGTCGCTCGTAGAGGGCCTTAATCAAAAGAAAATCGGAAAGCGAAATGGAAAGTTCGTGCTTCCAGAGTTATTCAAAGAGGAAGAGAGCGCGGAGGACATACTGTACATAGCTGAAGAACAACCAGCACCAACTTCAGGACAAGGGAAGAGCGAGCTCTCAAAGATGTTTTCCAAAATGTATGAGGTTGATCGCACTTACAAAAAGGGTCAAGAACGGATTAAGATGTACGAGTTCCTTAAGAAGGAAATTAAGTTTGTCGAAGAACTGATGGCCGCATCTCCAGAAGATCATAGGAAATTTTCCATGGCACTGGATTGGCTGATTCGCATGAAAGCAAGTGAGAAAGAAGAAGCTTTAGAGCTCGCTAGAAAGTTTATGACTCTAATGGAAGATTAGTCGCCGTAAAGGAAGATGTCGTTTGGGATTTGGCCACTTGAAAAGTTCCGTTACAACCTAGTTGAGTGATCTGACCCGATTCGATATCCACTCCTAGAAGATTGAAACGTCAGGCTGGGGGCAATGACGAAGTAAACAAACGCTGGAATGAAGTTTATTAATATAAGAATTTGAAGGGAATATCTCACCTGATCAGTGGACAGATCAACTCGGTTGTTGGGCGAAATGAGGAATACTCGAACCTTCTTTATGGGATGGGAATACTTCCTATTCCTTCTCCACTTTATATTCATTTTATTCAAAATTCTTCATATTATATTATATTAATTAATAAATTGTGCCACATTCCCAATCGTAATTTATGTCTCGCAGCGTGCATACGGGCAGACGGACATGTCAATCGACTCGGCTACTGATCCTGACCAGTAATATATACATCATAACCATATGTTATTCTTAATCATTAAAAAATGTAACTAATTTATATCTGCTGGACGACTACTAAATCTATTTCAAATCACATAAAATTTCACATAAGAGCGGCAGACTTTCGAGCCCGGGACTTGATAATCTTCTTCCTGTCTTTTGCCATCTTCAACGACTGCAGAGTCGGCTTGGCTTTATACACCTTCCTTCACTTTTCGGGCAATACGTCTCTCCTCGTGGTCATTCAAAATTGTGTTCGGAGCTTCACGGCCCTTATCTGCCACCCGATTTTCGCAAAAAACAGTTTGGGTTATGTATGGGTTTGTACTAGGGCTTGAGGCAACCATTTCCTGGGTTTTCCCATCCTTAAAATGTTTAAGGACTAATTCGCTTTGCTCAATAACTATTGACTATTATTCGTGGCGCCATAGTTTGAAAATCCTCGTGAATCCGTAATTTTTGGGTGCGCCCAGCCTCGAAAACTTATAAATATGCTTTTGTTAATATATTTTTACTAGTATTAAGAAAAAAAAATATGGATTTAAAAGTCCTAGTTTAGAGTTATTAACCGTTAAAGTGCTTGCACGAAATAAGCTTGTGCGTCGGAGTTGCCCTATTTTTTAGTTTTTGTATGAAAAATTCTTTTGTTTTTTAAATTAGTAAAAACTTTTGTTATTATTTTGATAATATGCGACATTCTTAACATTACTGCGTTTAAATTTTTTTGATATCTCTGCTGGTTTAGTAGCAGTATCAAATTAAAAATTCGATTTTTTCGTGCACGAAATAAGATTGGATCCACTGTATGTCCACTCAGAGCATGAGCATTGAGCAGCCCCGTTGTAAGGAAACTAAGGAAATAATAAGATAGTAATAGGAAAAACTAAGGATAGTAATAGTTTCGTAACACCTGTCGTTGGTTAAATATCTTATAATTCAAAAAGTTTATGGTTTTGACATTTTATTAAAAAAAAAAAACATTACAAAAGCTATAAACCTACACGTTTTTTTATATTCCGTAAGCTCACTTCTTTGTTGACCCATTATCTTTCGGGAAATCCCATGGCTCTTAGAAAAATAGCTTGGTAAGCCGCTCGGTTATGTGGCAAACCCTTGGCTTCCTTGCTCCTGAAGTTCCCAAGCCATGGGTATCTATAAATATATAGTTAATAATATGAAAAAAAAAGAATTTTTGATTAGATTCTAACCAACTCCTTGGAATTTGGACTTTTGAGGGGATATGTCCCTCAAACGCGCATTCTTGTATAAACTGCGAGCACTCTTGGCCAAATCGGTCAAAGACTTTTCATACTGAACGTGAGCCGTCTTGACCTCGGATATCATGGGGTTCGCCGGAATACTTCGGCTGAGCAGACTAACGGCGGTGGGAAGGCGGTCGCCCGCCTTAAGTCCACTTCGACTGACCTCAGTCTTGGGGAAGTTGAGCTCCTGGACTTGACGATTGGGAAGTGCCTGCATGGCCATCACAGTAGGACGAGTGCTATAGGAACCAGCTGGAAGGAAATCACCCGGTTAGGAAACTATTATTAGCAGCCATGGAAAACACTTCAAATGGATTGTAATTTGTAAATAAATCTGTAGAAAATCCGCATTTTCTATGTATTAGAAACAAATAAGAAAAGATGCTTCCCCGAGCTGTTTTACTTAAGAACTTGACAACCGATGAATATGCGATTAGCTTCGTTAGAGGATAATGATAATCACTTATCCTTCAAGAAAACTTATTTTCGAACGCGGAATCTTCCCGATAAGCCGAAGGACCGCTTACCTTGCTGCGCATAACGCGTCATATTAACCAAGTAGTTGTACAATTTCTTTTGGGACTGCATTTTTGCTTTGAATTAATGAAACAAAAATTTAGAGGTTTATATTTAACCGACTGTAATTTTGTGTTTTTTACAGGTCTTACTCGTTGGCCAACTAAAAACTCAATGAGAAACGCCTAGCCGAGAGGCAGTAAGTAAGCTGACTTAAAGGCAGACGATTACTAGATCGGAAAAATTGAGTTTTAGGGAGTTGGAAAAGTGAACTGAATTATGGAAATTCCAAAAACAAAAGTTAAGTTGAAATAAAATATATATTTATGTAAGAAAAAGTACCTAAAAGTATGGCCAAGTCTATGGAGAAGCCATTTTAAGGGAAACCCTTAGTTAAACTAACCAACTCCGAAGAGAAATCCACCCCTGAACTAGTCAAGAACTATATAATGTATATATATTCGAGTGTATATGGTGTCGAAGAAGTGACACCCGCCTGTAATAGGAACATCTCACTCAAGTGATCCCGCTCTGCGATACTGATTCCGGGGTCTAGTGCCGTTTGACACAGCTCTCGATGACCTTCGCAGGGGTGTGGATATGGGGAACTACCCCTAAGTTGGGCCCGGGGCCATATAATTAGTGTAATTACCTCAACAGCCTACTAAATTCGAGAAAAATGCAAACAAAAATTAAGAAATCACAACATTTATATCCCCCTGTCAACGAGCTCCGCTCCCCGTTTCCACCGTTCGCCAGTTCGATTCGAGGACAAAAGAGTCTTTGGTCCTTTGGCTATGCCATGCATAGAGTCCCTTGTGCGAGTCTGGACAGAACAATTGATGCCATCTAATGACAGGGTGGATTGCAGTTTTTCGTTTTAATTCCAGTGCCAACTTCTGTTCTGTTCCTCTTCCCCTCCTCCCCCTCCTCCCCCTCCACCAAACAAAAATAACAACGAAAAAATAATGTTTAAAGTCCGCCTTGCAACTTTGCTGTTGCATTGTCAGAGGACCTCGGCATCGCCTGGTTATAAATTACGTTTGGCGGGCGACTTCCTTTCGGGATTCTGGTTTCTAGTCTTGGTTCCACCCTTTAGTCTCCTGATGATGATTGGCAAAAAAACCAAAAAACGCATATGAGATGCAGTCATTAGTGGCGTGGTCAGTGCGAAAATGCCAATCATGTTGAGGAACAAATATCCTGGCATGTCCTTTCGCTTGGCTTACACGGAAACCCGGGAGTCGAAGGAAATATTTTGGCTCGAGCATAATTAACGCCTAATGAAAATATTTTGGGTCGGCAAGCCTTTGAAGGCGGCGGAACACACACACACGGGAAAATGCGAAGATGTTAGCTGGAAAATTTGCGACACCAGAAAAGAATCGCTAATCATGCCGACAAACGGAAAAGTTGACAGTGAAAACAGGTGAGTATACCGTTATTTTTACACATTTTTTTACCTATGAAATAAGAATATTTTATATTTTATTTCAAGGAAAATGAACAAGAAGGATGCCAAAACTTACGGTTGTTTGGTGGTTTGTTTAAGAATTCTCTTTGGTTCTAGGGGTTTCCCTTTTTTACTTTACTAGTTGCCGAAAAGAAGGAAATACAAAGCATATTCACATATGTATTAAGATGTTAGTCTATATCATATTATATTACTAAAAACAGTTATTTTCTAATGTGGAATACTTCAGACCAAGGCTGCTCAACGCCTATGCTCTGAGTGGCGTTCGTAGCGCTATTCCACCAACAATTTTTCGTTATACTCTTTCCGCCTCATTCCGTCTCCAACTGCGAGACAATTTGTTCTTGTTTCTTCCCCAATCATCCTCGAACTCCTTGCTATTCCCATAACTATTTTTCGTTTTCCTCCTTCCGCCGCATTCCGTCGCTAACTGTTCTTTTTTCTTCCTCGATCATCCTCGGACACATGCACTGTAAATCATTCCTTGTAACTTCTGTTTGCACTTTGGAGTTTACTTCGCAGTGGGGACCATTGACGCGAGTGTTGAAATGAGTGATGAATTCTGTCTCTCTTTCCTTTCTCTCAGTGCACAGCTGCAAACCAACACAAAAGCGTCACTAAATATGTGCACGCTTTCTGATTTTGTGTTGGTAAAAGCTCTGCAGTAAAATGATTTTGAGAACTCCTGCTTAAGACAATCCAAAGAAGGTAGACCTGAAGGTACATAAATTTATCAAAAAGTTACTTCCAAGATGCATTTTATAAGTGCAATGATTGGTGTTCCCCTTCGATTTTGTTCACTATTACTGAAGTAGTTCCTAAAAAGTAGAACATTAAAATCAAACCCTTACTTAAGTTCTTCATATTCCTTAATTTATGATGTTCGATGAGGCCTTCTGGGCTCCAGTGCCTACTAAGTTGGTCATTACACGACTAAGTAGCATCGAGAACACGCCACCCAGGATGGGATGAGATGGAAAGTCAGCGGGATGAAGGCGATATAAAATGTGGATGGAGGGTTTTTCTTTTCTATTTTTTTTTTGGCTGGGCGTTGTCGACATTGTCATCAACACATAACTGTCAACTTTTACTATCGTTTCAGGGGGTTGCTCTTCGAGATTTGCCAACGGGCTGGTGGTTAAATCGAAACCCGAAAACAGTGGCGGAAGAGGGAGGTTTTTCGAGCCGCCGGCAAATGACCCAAAACTGAGAGACATCATCATTAGGGCATCAAAATGGGCAAAAGCCAGGCAACGACCATGAATATCCGTGAAAAATCATCATCAGCAGTGAAATGCATACAAAATGAAATTGTCTCTGTATATATATATAGTGTAGTATATATATGTTTATTCCCATGGCCGACTGACATATTTTATGCATTTGGCATTTTGGCTGAAGTGGCGGAATCAAAGCGATTGTTCGCAGGGCAAACATAAATAAGTGAATGGAAGGCTGCATAATTTATGCATTTAATGTAAACAGACAATTTGGCGCAGCTTTTTGAGCAGTTTCAAGGAAGGAGCCCCCAAGACAAGTAACAAGGATATAAGGTTACGAGGGCGGCTTGAGATGTTTCCGATGGTAATCTCTTAAACGGACAAGCAGTCTGTTTAAATTGTTTAAGAAGCTTGAAATATTAAATAATTCGGCAACTTTAACACTCTTTCCTTTGGTATTTACTTAATTATTTATTATTTTATCTTTTTTTTTGTTTTAACTTTGGCAATATTCTCCTTAACGGACAAGTGGATTCCCTGCAATTTCTGATTAATTAAATTTAAAATCTTTTTTAATATGCTATAATTTTAATATTATTTCTTACCTTCTAAAGTAACCAATTATCAATATTAAATAACTTTTTTTAATTTCTAATAAATTCTGATAGAAACTCCAAGAGCACCCCTCGCTTGTCCGTATTCAAAGATGATTTTTGCTGACAGCCGACAGTCAGCGCCGTGTCAGAAATCACAGTCGCAGGCCCAAAAAAAGCACCCACCGAACGAATGGAATAAAGAAATGCCAACAAGGTCCTGGGGTGGTGGTGGGGTACGAAGGAAATATATAAAAAAAAAATAGGATACAAGCCCAGGACGAAGGACGATGAGAGCCAAGGGAACTGGGAACTGGGAACAGGAGAGGACAGGCACTTGATGAGCAAATCAGGGCCATGGTTCATTGACGTAGCAAATTGGAACTTCCTCTGGGAGCTGCGATGAAAATAATGATGAGGACAAGGATGAAGATGAGGATGGCGAGTCCTCAAGGAAATCCCAAGTAGCGCCAGGTAAAAAGAGCCAAGGCGGAAGTATCCGAGAGATACGCATGGTAATGTAACTGATAAACGAAGCGTAGAGAAGTGAGGCTGCTACTTGGGTTACACGACATTCCGTTTTCCATTTTCCATTATCCATTATCCGTGATCCATATGGCCATCCCCGTTCGAATTAAGATGCGAATCGGAAAATCGGAGCATCGGGGAGGCACACAAGTTGCCGCATTCATTCATAAATATCTGTCGCATCTTTTGTGCATCTCATGGATTGCATTGCGTTGAGTTTGAGTTTTAGTTTGAGTTTGTTTACCTCACAGATACACAAATCGAGTTACAGATTGTGCGAAATGTGCGAAATGATCCGCCAGATGAGCTCGTAAAACGGATTCCGGCCACTTGTAAGGGAAATTACACTAAAAAGAAAGAGGAAAGAACATCAAAGATCTGCATTCAAATAGAGAAGTAACCCCTACTTTGTTGCACGTACAAAGAGTTAGAGGATCCATTTCCCTATTTCTGGCCATTAAAATAGATGTCAAAGGTAGAAACTTAATGATGCTTCTTCCCATATCCTCAGAACTCTCCCAAAATTGAGTCATAAACCGTGAAGCCTCATCAATAATCATAATTCCGATGGCGCTTAAAATTTGTTTGACAGTCTTAATTGGTTTTGTCTTCGCAGATCGATGAGGAACGCGAGGATCGGTGCCAACTGGTGAACGGTGAAGTTTGAATGTTGAATGGTTAATGGTTAATGGATAATGGTTAACGGCTAATGGCAACTTCCGGCCGATCGACTGGACATGTGCATCCAGTGTTTTCTCCCTTTCCTCTCCTCCTCTCCTCCTCTTTCTATCCAAAGCGAGTAATTTGGGCTCATTAAAATGGTTCCGAAGTGTCATTCCCGCGGAGGGCAAGACCCCGCGACATGTGGGAAATGAGCTATAAAAAATATACACCCATCCACATGTGCAGGGGCCCAGGAAATCGAGAGACAATAGAATTGCGGCGGTAATTGTTGGCGTTGGTCATGGTGAACCGTAACAACAGCAACTGTCAGAGGGATCCCTCCGACCGACCCTCTCAAAAAAAAAAAACCCTACAAAAAGTTAGGGAAGGCCAGCCGACAAGTGCAGGGCCAAAAAAAAAAACAAGGAAAAACAAGAACACGTGCGTGGGAGTCGGGGCTCTAATTGGGTCCAAAAACTACGAAAAACATTCGAAAAAAAAATCAATTTGCTAAGCTATAAGGTCTACAAATACATATATATTACACCTTTATGCTAAGTAACCAAATGTATTTAAAGGTAATTAAAAAATATTTTAGTTTTTCGTGACAAAAATAAAAGGCGCAGAACTTGATTTTCATTTATTGTTAATATTCATTTTTAAAAATATTTTAAAGAATATGTAAATGGCTAAAATATATAATAAATATTTAAAAGAATTCTATATTTCTAAGAATAATCTTGTAATCTTATAGAAAATAAAGTTTAATAATTCAAAAATTAATTAAAGTTATGAAAAAGTTAAAAGTTCATTTTCCGAATGACTTTAAGTGCCTTTAAAACCAAAAAACAACTTTGAACAACTTTTTATGTTACTCAGTTAAAAACTAAGCAAAAAATAGCATTAAGAAAAGATTAAAAAATTTTAAAAACTATTTTTTTTCATAATTTAACAATTTAATATTTATAATTTATCTAATTTTATGAAACATCTTCCCCGTAAGTAACTTTACTTCTTTTTGCGTTTGAACTTTTCTTTGGGGCATAAATTTAAATATTATTTTTGTTTTAATTAAAATTTTGTAAATTGGATTTCTTTTAAGGCATATCTTATTTTATTTGCAATTTATTTTTTAATAACATAAACTATATTAAATGCCTATTACTAACTCCTTCTAACTCTCCTCAAACATTTTCCCTCTTTAGTTTCCACTCGAGAATGATTTCTTTCGGTGCAGAAGAACATCTGGGATATTGGTTCACCCTTTCGGGAATGCAGTGTTTGTTGTTTTTGGGATGTTTGCGTAGGTTTATGTAAATTAGCCCAGGTCGATGGGTCAGCGGAAGGTCGGGGGCGCAAATGATTCCCAGAAGGCAACAGCAACTGCAACTGCAACTGCAGAGGCTGAGCGCAACTCTTTCCCCTTTCATTCACTCGCCGCGAAAAGCAAATGGAAGAAACCAGCAAGTACACTAAGAGAAAAAAGGGTTACATATAGAAAAAACTATTCATTTAAAAGCTATTAATATGAACAAAAAAGTTAACAAGGTTTAAGGTGTCTTTTTGTTGTTTTTTTAACAGCAAAAATGTTAATAAAAAAGAGTAAAAGTAAATTAAACTTAGCTGGATGATATATTAACATAAATCTATAAATCTGGAGACATAAAAATATGAAAAATAAAGAATTTTATACCAACTAATTAACTAGTTAAGGACAAATTTGTAACTCCTACTTTTGATTTTAAGATATTTTATTAATTGATTTACAAACTTAAAGAGAGAGAGTTTTGGCTAAAAAACTTAACTAATGTAACTTGCATTATTTCCACTTTTAGGATTATTTGAAGTCACATAATCATTTCTTATTTTCCCCCAAAACCTGCACACATTTTCTTACCGTGCAGCTCCCTGCAATATTTGCGCTGGAAACTTTATGACATTACATTTTACAGGAGGCTGTAATAAAACCCTTTTAGCGGCGTGCGCGCAAGGACCAAGAACATTGAAAGGAAGGCGGCTCGTTGGCAAAGGATCTGATCGATCGGAAAAGCGGAAAACTGAGTGCGGACCACCCGGACGAGCTGGCCGGCCACTGTTGATTTTTCGCGGTCTAATAAAAACTGGCCAGCGCAGTGGAAAGAAGAAAAACGAGCGGGTTTTCCCCTCAAAGAGTTGCGCACGCACTTTTCCAAGGAAATCACGAAAACCCTTCGGTTTTCCGCTTGTTTTCCCTCCTTTGGGTGTGAGCATTTGCATAACGCCGCCAACGCCGATGTCGGTATCGGTGTACTATATAGAAAAGAAGGAACATTAAAGGAGAATTAGGTACGAGTACACGAAGGAAAATAACACCTTAAACCTTTTCCATGTTAGTATCAATCATACAAAAGTAATACAAATATTAAATCTCTACCCTAGAAGTTTAAAATAAATACTTAAGAAATTAAAAAATAATGCTAAATGGACAGAGGATCTTATATTATTTTAGATATTTTTTAATATAATTAAAAGTAATTTTTTAAGGCAGCTGAAATGGAAGTAAAAAGTGGTAAAAGGTCTCCTTTCTTTATCAAATTTTGAAGTCATTCACTGATGGAATTTTATTATAAATCCTATTACTAAGTCAGAGTTCATTAAATATATTCTATAAGAGTAAAATATGATCTTACCTTGCTTAATATATAATAAATATTTAAGACAGATATCTGCTATATTTTTATTTTTAATCTTCTTTTATAATCAAAGTTTTCTTTAGTGTAAAAACAAAGATTAATATTTGAGGAATTCTTGTTAATCGAATGACAGCTGTCAAGTGTTTTCCATTTCATTTTCATTTTCATTATCGCCGAGTCCAGACCAGACGCTGCTTACCCAATTCCGTAGCTCGGACTTATGCTAATTTTAATTGGCCACAAATTAGCTACTTGCAACCGGTTTTCGCGCTAATATCGAAAGATCGTATGAGGTTTGAACTTGAACTTTAAGCTGCGCTTTACGGGCAGCTGGCTGGACCTCGTTTTGATCTTTTGATTCCTTGTTTGGTCTTAGAATTTGGTATTATTATTTATTCATTAAGCTAACCACAAAAACTTAACAACTTCCTAAGCAAATGCTTTAAAAATCATAGAAAATGGCAGTTTCGTCACTTAGTCTTTTCAAATTACCAAACATAACTAACCCTTTAGTGGTCCACCCTAATCCACGAGAACTCTAGACGCCCCGAAACCTGAACTTTGTTTGCAAAGCTCTCCGGTGGGCGATGGCGATGACGATGACGTAGCCAGCTGGCCGGCCCATCGGATCCGAGACCGAAATGCGAAACCGAATCCGAATCCGAATCGAAATGATCAGGCCACCGGGCAAAGGCCTCCGAGCCCCGGCCGACTGATAACTTATCAGCAAACGAAACAACCCAGTGGACCCTCCCCCCGGTCGACCCCCTGTCAATAAAAAAATAAATATTAAATTGAAGTTCGCTGAGGTGGCATGTGGAGAATAAAGCCCAAGAAGTGTCTACAAGAAGATTGGGGGCACTGCACCCGCTCGGTACGATAAACCCTCGCTTTATTGGACTCTCAGACCAGAACTCTCAGAAATTAACCCCTGAAATGTGGGATACTATTGGTTTTGATGGTAAAACCACTTAGATTTTGGAATGTTTATCATAAAAAGGTAATGGTACTGCATAAAGCCATTATTAAGACTGTACTAAGAGCTACCAAGACTTTATAACTGATATATATATGATATATCTTACATTCCTATATACCAAATCCAAAGATAGATCAATAAACAAAGTCTTTGAATTAATATTTAGAAAAAAAAAGATCGTAGCAAAGTTTATTTGAGGCAGGCGAAGTATTTACAAAGCGATGACGATGGCGGGTCCCTCCTGCTCCCGGCCCATAAGACTGATAAAGTAATGTTACTGATATGGGCTGGCGAGGCGTGAAATGGGCGGATGGGCGTGATGGGAGCGTTGGCTAAAAACAGTCGACCTTGAGGTAAATGCGTTGTTCACTGGCCAGCAGCGCGAACTTGGCGTCAAAGCGAATCCGCTCCACGGTGCGGTCGCAAATCTCCACGCGGTGGCGGTGCAAGAAGTAAACGAGGCCCAGCTTAATCTGCAGCAGTCCGATTTGCATTCCGATGCAGTTGTGTGGCCCCGCCCCAAAGGGCAGATACGACATGGGCGCCTGCTGAGCCTTGTTGGCCGCACTGAAGCGTTCCGGATCGAAGCGTTCCGGATCCGGCCAATACTGCAAAGTTAAAAAAAGAATATTCCTTAAGAATATTATACAAATTCCTTGCCTTCGTTACTAACGTTAAATAAGTTAACAAAATAAACTTATACATTTCATAGAATGCCCCCGAAACCACCGCCCACTCACCTTAGGATCGTGGTGAATGGCCAGATTCGATATAAACACGGGCATCCCACGGCGGGCGTAGCACTCGGCATGTGGCCTCAGCGAGTAGAATCGCTTCTTGTTGATCGGCGTGCACTCGCGCTCCAAGAGCGGGACAATTGGATACTTCCGCAGTGTTTCCTCCACGACCATGTCAAGAAACTTCATCCGGGCAATGGCCTCGTAGGTGAGCTTGCCATCGGGATTCTCCGCGAATGCCTCGCGTATCTCGCGACGCAAACGGGACTGCATCAGAGGTTGTTTGGCCAGCTCGTAGAGGGCAAAGGACATGCTCGCCGAGCAAGTCTCAATGCCGGCCACCTCAAAGGATGCCGCCTGGGCGGCCAGAAAGTCGCGATGGTGCGTAAAGTGCGACTTGTCCTGCTGCAGATCGGCCTCTTTTTTGAGCGTCAGCAGCATCTCGATGAGATCGTTGCGCAGATCGCCACCACGTTCCCGCTCCTCGATCACCAGCTGGATGACCCGGCGCAGGAACTCTGCATGCGCCTCCGTGAATAGTTTGGGCCGCAGCAACGGCACCAGTCTTGGCAGGTAAAAGATCACAAATAAATCGAATATTCGACGGACATTCGGTCGAAACAGGTCCTGACAATGTGATCCGATCTGCGACTGCGTGTTCCTAAGGCTGTAGGATCTCAGCCCGAAAGCGATGCTGGCTATCATGTCGGTGTTGTAGAGATCACAGACATCCTTGATGCTCACAATGGCTCCACGTTCGGCATCGCCGCGTCGCAAATCTCGTGTTAGCCGCTTCAGATACCACTCCAGATCGCAGCCGATCTACGGGGATATAGCCGAGAGTGATATTCGATGAAATAAGAGTACAGAAACTAACTTTAAAAGATCGCAAATCAATAACTAAAATGGCATTCAAGTGCAGGTGCATAATTTTCTACAACAAAAAAGTGTGTCAATCTTTAAATAGCAATTAGATTCTCGATTAGGTTCCCAGAATATATATATATAGAGAACTTAAGTAAACTAAACGATTCGGCTTTGTCATTAGAATTTGCATTATCAGAATGATTAGTCATTTTTGTTTTGTTTCAGCAAACGATTTGCGTTTGCGATTTCTTGGCTTAAATTTGCATACAACTTTCGGTTTGACTAGGCAACAAAAACTGGAAAACCAATAGGTTTGAGCTATCATTTTTTTTATAGTATTCTTGGTAATAATGCGATAGTTGTTGACCTTTGATAAGATAGCCTGTCACAGTAATAAGTCGGTAACCACAAACAAGTTATATTTGATAAGGCCAAATAGAAAACCAGGCAGCAGTTCGAAAAGACTTTCATTTATCAGCCGCCTTCCACATGTCTTATTTAAGTGCAACCTTTGATTTTAATAAAGCCAACTGTCCATCAAATATAGATTCATATTTAACATTAACATTAACATTAACATTTAGCATTTTTAGCATTTTTTTTTTTGGGACAGAAAACTGCATTTAAGGCCGGAAACCAATTTCTGCTCAAAATATATATGCTTTGTGTAGTTGGGTGTCGGTGTTTCGAACATGTGACGTGGACCTGGTCTTTTTGAACCGGCTGACTTTCTGGGTGACTCACCTCCTCCATCAGCGAGAACATCTGTTTCAGCTTGGCGCCGGCGAAGGCTGGTGCTAAACGGGTGCGGATCTCGCGCCACTCGGGTTGCTTGGCCAGGAAAAGTGATAGGGCGCCCATTTTATCGCTGCGCCCATCGCACTTGGCGAAACGGTTGGAGAAGCTGACGAAATCCTCGACCAGGACGGTACGCACCAGCTGAAGATCCCGGATGAGGAGTGCTGGCTGGTGAAACAGATAGATTCCCACCACGGGCTCGTTGCGGAAACGCTCGTCGAAGTAGAAGCGGCGCAGTTGGAGGGCAAAGGACTCCTCTAGTCGGAGAACACGGCTCAGATTGCCCAACAGGTGGGTTGGCTGGACGAACTTCACCCGGCGGCGCTGCCAATAAACGTAGGTGCGACGGGACCAGATGAAGACGCCCGTTAGGATCGTCACAATCGCCAGCAGGATGTTCGTGGAGTAAACCATTTCGAATTCGGGGTCCGAAATTAAGTCCACAGGCTGGTATATCGTATAAGGATATGCAGATATAGCCTTTATATCCCCAATCTTAAAGCTTTGATTTCCAGGAGGCTCGAAAAGTACTCTCTGAAGTCTGTCACGAAGATCTTTCGATTTTTGTAATGTGTTTGGTATTAATTTGAAAATGCAATGCCTTTGGATATTTATAATTATTTTATAATTGTTGTTAACTCGCAATTGGTTGATTTTCTTAGCTCAACTCAGTTGCTCTTTAATTTTAATTGATTTTGTATTTAATTCTTTAAATTCAAGTTGATTACACGATAATTTATGTTATTTTACGCATCAAATGGTGTTTTTTTTCTGTGATGTATTTAATTGATTTGTTTTTTTCAGTGCTTAGAGATCTTCTTAAATTCATCTGCTTCCTGCTTTAAGTTCTTGTCTTGTTCTTCCTTCATTATCCTTTGATTGTCCTTTGCTTTTATTTCTCGAAAGTTCGGTTTTTTATTCCATATATTATTCTTCTTTCCTTGTTTTAAAGATCGTCCGACTTTGGTTACTTTGCTTTTATTTTTTTATCAAGATTTTTTTTTTAAATTTCATTGAGCTTTTTTTTTTACTTTTTCCTATATGTATATTTTATTTAGTGCTTTTGTATAATTGTAAAAATTCTATTTTATCTAATCGCTTTAATACATATTTTGCGTATTTTCCGTTTTTTTGGTGGTTGTTATTGCTTTTCCCTTTATTTGTAATTTCTTTTATGCTGCTCCTCTCCTTTTGCCCATGCTTTTGCCGTTATTTGTTGTTTCTCTTTGCCTCTGTTTTCTGCAGCTCCTTTTATTTCGCTCTTTGTTTTTTGTCTTTTTTTGTTGTTGTTTGGTCGGCAATCCTCGTTTTTATCAAACTTTATTGCTTTTCCTCGTCGCCGCGTGTTTTATAAATAAATACTTAACAAATTATATCACATTTGGAACAACTACAAAAAAAATGTGTACTAAAAACACGAAGAATAGAGAAAAATTAAGAATTAAATGCACAACGCGACGTCAACAACAAATGGTCGAAGAGGAAGAAGAAACAGCCACGCTGAACCGCATGATGAAGAAAGCACCCAGAGAAGAAGGAAGAGAGCAAAAAGAGAGCAGGTTCGCGAAAGAAAGGCGAAAAACCGCGAACTATAAGTTGCAAATTGCGAGTTACAAATAATAAATCTAACCAAAAAAAAAATATAAATAAAATCGCTAGCTAGCTTCACCAAGCGACGCTTTTTAACTGACGCGTCGTCGACGGGCAAAGCCCCACGAAGGCAGCGACGCTGACAGAGCGGCGACGACGCCCCCATCACTGTTGTTTCTTGTTGTTTTTCCTGCTTTATTAACCGCAAGTTTGCGGGAGGCAGCGCAAACAACTGAAAGAGGGGCTGAAAGAGAGAGATCTTTGAATGAGATACAGGGAAAGAGCGCAAAATGAGAGCTTGCCGAAGAATTTGAATAGTCATGTTGGCACATGTTCTGGTTCGAACAGTGGGACGCAAACACATGAAATTTTTACATATTAATGCATATATGCTGTATATTATTTAGTTTGTTGTTATAAGACAAAAAATGCATTTTATAAACTGAAAACTTTTCTTTGATTTATTCTAGGATAAAACTTTGTATACCTTGTATTTTCCAATTCAACGTAACTATTAAACAGAACTATTTTATTGTTGCAAAAATTTCTTATTTGTAATGCCAATAAGTAGTTATTCATTTATTGACCTATTAAATAGCCAACTCTACATTTCCGATTTGTCCCACCGTAGGGGATAAAAAGATGCCAAAGCACAAAGTAGACCGCAAATAAAAGTGACGATTTAAAGCGAAACTGCGATAGCAACTACACAATGCTAGCTGGCGTCGCTGCCACTGCCGGCACCGCTGCCGGCACTCCACGTGACGGCGACCGCGAATCTTTCGATGAAAACAAACGGAGCGAGCGAAAATTTGTTTTTGTTGCTGGATGCAAGGAAAAGACAATGGTCACTCGTTTTCGTAGTCGTATTAGGCTTTTTTTGGCTTTCGTGTTCTTTTCGTTTTTCTATATTTGCCTGCGAGAATTTATAAATAAACGTTCGAATGCTCTGCTTATCGTAGCTGCTGATTTTCGCTTCTTCTTCCAAGCGCTTTTTGTTGTTTCGGTTCAGCTGTTCTGTTTTCGCCTCTTCTTTTGCTCGCTAAAAGAGAATATCGATAACCAACCAGGGAAGCAACACTGGTAGAAAGTGAGCGCCAAAATTGAAAAGGCTTACAGAAAACTTGACGAAAATGTGTAAATATTTTAAGTATAAAAGAGAATTAAAAACAAGCGCCATAATCAAGTACTACGTCTATCAGTTATCTTCTATTGCGAACAGACGGCCGATGAGTTCGAGAACTTGTTCGCAATTTGTGAATGTAAAGAATGTGCTCTGCTTATATTCGTGTCCAGCTTAGCATTAGTTACAAGTTTTGACTTACAAATTTGTTTGGTAGAAATTTAAATATAAAGTCACCTTAGAAAACAAACTCAAGTCAAACTGAAAGGTATAGCAATCCCTTTCTACAACAAGTAAATTTGGAACGAATACAGGAATATTTTATTTAAACTTTTCATTTCAATAAGAAGCAAAAATTATATTTAAAAATGGAGTAAGTGAGAACAATATAGGCATTCGTGGTTAAGAAACAGATCGGAGTTACAAGTGATTAAATGTGGACTTTTGTCACAGGTCGCAAGGTGTTCGCTTTTCCAATGATGTCCCGGAGACAAGTGTTGACGATTCTTCGGACACTTACCTTACTCTCCATTTCCCTGTGGCCGATGTTTGCAAGGTCATGTCTGAAATCGGAGGACCAGTCCTGTTGAGCAAGTTGGTGGCCCACTTCGAGGTAAGGATTCACTCCGAAGTGGCTCTTTTTTTTAAAATTCATAAATGTATGTTAACGCAGGGTAAGATGGCAGTTGGAGTTAGGCACAAGGCGTCGAAGTTTGTATGCCAGTCGCTCGTAGAGGGCCTTAATCAAAAGAAAATAGGAAAGCGAAATGGAAAGTTCGTGCTTCCAGAGTTATTCAAAGAGGAAGAGAGCGCGGAGGACATACTGTACATAGCTGAAGAACAACCAGCACCAACTTCAGGACAAGGGAAGAGCGAGCTCTCAAAGATGTTTTCGAAAATGTATGAGGTTGATCGCACTTACAAAAAGGGTCAAGAACGGATTAGGATGTACGAGTTCCTTAAGAAGGAAATTAAGTTTGTCGAAGAACTGATGGCCGCATCTCCAGAAGATCATAGGAAATTTTCCATGGCACTGGATTGGATGATTCGCATGAAAGCAAGTGAGAAAGAAGAAGTTTTAGATCTCGCTAGAAAGTTTATGACTCTAATGGAAGATTAGTCGCCGTAAAGGAAGATGACGGCCGGCTTGTTAATCAGTTTGGGATTTGGCCACTTGAAAAGTTCCGTTACAACCTAGTTGAGTGATCTGACCCGATTCGATATCCACTCCTAGAAGATTGAAACGTCAGGCTGGGGGCAATGACGAAGTAAACAAACGCTGGAATGAAGTTTATTAATATAAGAATTTGAAGGGAATATCTCACCTGATCAGTGGACAGATCAACTCGGTTGTTGGGCGTAATGAGGAATACACGAACCTTCTTTATGTGATGGGAATACTTCCTATTCCTTCTCCACTTTATATTCATTTTCAAAATTCTTCATATTATATTATATTAATTAATAAATTGTGCCACATTCCCAATCGTAATTTATGTCTCGCAGCGTGCATACGGGCAGACGGACATGTCAATCGACTCGGCTACTGATCCTGACCAGTAATATATACATCATAACCATTTGTTATTCTTAATCATTAAAAAATGTAACTAATTTATATCTGCTGGACGACTACTAAATCAATTTCAAATCACATAAAATTTCACATAAGAGCGGCAGACTTTCGATCCTGGTACTTGATAATCTTCTTCCCGTCTTTTGCCATCTTCAAAGACTGCAGAGTCGGCTTGGCTTTATACATCTGGGAAAGCAGCTTGGAATGTTTTCCCTGGCGCTTTTTAGCGGGGAGTATTCCGTGAAGTTTCGCGTAAGTTTGTTTGGTAAGCTGACTGTGTTCTATGATTTTGTTTCGGTCAATCATCTTCTGACATTCCTGCTATAATTTGGAATTAACAGCTAGAAAGTTGGGAGTAAACATGCAGATTCTAGTTTAGGCAGCGCTCATTCAAGGTCCTTAAATTGGTAATTCTTTAGGTGGGACTTCCCTTTATTAGACATTACAAATTAAGGTTACTTATAAACAAATTCAATGCCATTCCTTAAGAAATTAGAAATGAAATTGATCCAATAATTAATTAAGAGCCTAAGATATGGTTGACATTTCGTTTCATGATCTCTAATTAGGGAATTATTATTAGCAGCATTCGTTTTTTTCCCTTTTTTCTTTAGTTAAATTCTCCTTTTATAATTTTTAATAATAATATTACCAGCTATTCCTGGTTTGTAAGTAAATAAACTTAGAAAGTTGTTTTAGCCAAAGGTTAAGAATTTTAGTTTTGGACTTCAGTCCTTAGAATGCCTTAGCTGAATGAGGGAAATTTTAGATAGCTGCACAGGCAAAAGCCCTGCCTCAAGGTCATTTCAGGTGGGAGGATAGATTTAACACCCAACAACCAACCATCAGGACCTTTTGTTCTAGGAGCTTCTTCAGCATTCCGTTGGCAATTTGCGTCCTCAAACTGTTTGCTTACACTGGCCAAAAATGGTCAATCGAAATGGTTTACTCTGTTATTACCTTTTCACAAAAACATTTAGAAATGTTATTAATAAAGAAGGTATTTAATATTTATTAAAATATTTATTTATTAATTATAAGCTTTAAATTATAAAACCTTATGCCAGCTTAAACTTGTAGGAACTAAAATTTCGAAATAACTAAATCGGAATTCGAATCTATGAAAAGTTGATTTCACTTTCCCGTTTCCCTCAGTGCAGATTAGGCAGGTGAAAAGGGGGCTTTCGAGGGTAAATGTGTGGATTTCGAGGGCACTTTGTTGCACTTTTCGACTGCACACAGTCAGCTGGAGGGACGGAGAAATGAACTGCATTTTGTGGGCTTGCACTTGTGGCCAAATGTTGGCCAAAATGGCTTGGCTCGGCTTAGAACATGGCCACGACATGTTGATTGAGGCGTTCCGAGGAGGGGATTTCCCGGAGGAGCAGCGTGTGAAACTCTTTTGTGTGGAGCCCCAAAGTTTGACCAGGAAACCAAGACAAACGGTTCGTTGAGCCAGCAAAGAAAATTAGCCAGCATCGAATGGAAGAGCAGAATAATTCCTAAAGATTAAATAGTGAAGTAAAGTATCTATAAAACTATAGATATCTATATCTATATTAGCAAATCATTTAACTTGTTTTCTTAATCGTTAACACTTGTTCAAAATTTACTTTTTTTTCAGATCCCTAACCAACATAGTTTCTTTTCCAATTTTCCACTTGCCGAGGAATCGAATAAACTCAATTAGAGCATAGCCACTTCGATCGGTTTTCCATGCGCCATTCACCGATTTTCCAGTTCTGTTTTCCCCTTACCCTTCACCCTTCCCCTTTCCCCTTACACATTTCCCTTTATTCATTTGTGATTTTCCGATTGAGATCGAGGAGGCCTCTTCATTTTCACATGCAGCCGAGAGCCGTTGACTGTGGCCCAATTTTGGTATCTCGACTTGGCCAACAGACGGCCGAGAAGCGGACACCGCAGTAATTTGTACAAATTTGTTAGGGCTCATAAAAATGCCGGGCCTCTCTTTTTTTATATTCTCCAGGGACAAACACATGGCGCACAGCCTGAGAACCGAAATTAATTGAAATATTAAACTCACACGATGAGTACACGGAAAGAAATAAGATTGACCTGATCCTTGAATTTACATAACAAATATGTTATTTTAATTCTCTTAATTTTTAAGATTTTTTCAATACTTTCACTACTTACCCTAATCAATCTTAAGAAATGGAAAATAATATTACAAATATTAGAATATTAAGTTAAGTTAAGTTTCTTCCCGTGTACGGTGGATCATCAAAGCGATGGACAGCAGGTTAAGATATTAACGGAATGGGAAAATATTAATATTTATAATTTTTGGTATTGTTCTCGAGCGGAGCGGAGTTGACTTATGCGACAGTTTTATTGGGCGTCGGCATCTTGGAAAGTCAAACCCGCGCCCGAGGGCCACAAAGGGGTTAATGTTAATTATGCCTTTATGTTAAGCGGGAAAAGGCATCTCTATTGCCTCGAAAAAAAAAAAAACAGAAAAACGAACTATCGAAAGTCAAGACACAAAATCCCCCATTGTAGTTTTCGCTCGATTTTTACTAGTTCCGCGTAGTCGCGGTGAGAAAATTAGTTAAGGACCGGGCAAAAAATTAACCAGAAAAATTTATTGTCATTTGGGCATTGCTTAACCCATTCGCTGACCAAGTCATAAAAGGAATCTCACACAAAAAATGTGCACGTATTTTTTAACCCTTCGCCCTTTTGCCGGAAAATGATAATGAAAACGAAAACGAAACCGTGTCCTGTTCCCGTTCCACATTTCACTCCTTTATCTCTAATTTATGTCTCGCTCGCTTGTCCTCTTTTTATGGTTTTATTACTTTACGATCTAGCTAAAAAAGCAGAGCGAAAAAACAGCAGGATAAAGGTTAAGCAGAGCAGTGGAAGAAGCTGCGGGCCGGCACTGATTTCAACAACTAAGAAGTGCTAAGGAGAATATGCAGTATGCAGCTATGACACTGAAACTTAATATAATTTAAAGTCGTTTTTTAGAGTAATCTTACTAGATATGGCAGCAAAATAGTTTTTTAACTGAGAAGATCATAGAAATTAAGTTAAATGCAATACACATTTTCGATGACGTGTCATAGGACTTTAACTCAGCTCTGCCATAACGGCAGAAGTAAAGCAGTGGAAGGAGCTGAAAGCTAGCACAGATTGCACCAGCGAAGGAGTTGAGAATGGAAGGAGAATAAGAAGTAGGCAGCTATGACACTGAAACTTTCAATAATTTAAATTCATTTTATTTAGTAATTTTACTAAATTTTTAAACTGAGAAGTTCATAAAAACTAAGTTAAATGGAAACTTAAGAATAAAAGTAATCTTAAATTTTCATATGTTTTCTCAATACACATTTTCGATGCCATGTCATATGACTTTAACTCAGCTTTGCCATAACGGTAGAAGCAAAGCAGTGGAAGAAGCGGAAAGCTAGCACAAATTTCTACAGCAAAGAAGTAGAGAATGGAAGGATAATGTGGAATAGGCGGTTATGACAATGAAACTTAAAATAATTTAAAATCATTACTTAGATTAAAGACTAAGCTAAATGGAAACTCAAAGATAGAGTAATCTTAAATTTTCAATATTTTCATATATGTATTTTCTCCATAGACATTTTCGATGCCGTGTCATATGACCTTAACTCGGCATTGCCATAGCGGTAAAAGTTGTAAAAAAAAAAAAAAACGCACAGGCTGGACTCGAACTGAGGTTCTCTGCCTGAGTCTCTTTTTGCGCCCCTTATTTTTTAACCCCTTTCTGATCTAGAAATACAATTACAATTGTTCGCGCTGGCGAAAAGGGGTTAAGGCGGGCAAGTTTCGCTGACCGTTTTACCTAAACTACCGAGAATCGCGTTTTAGGGTCGTTTTTTGTGGCACTTCTGCGATTTTCGGTTGTTTTTTAGGATAGGCGGTCAGCTCTTTACCCAGAACTTGACCCGATCTATTTAGGTTTGTAGGTTTCTAGTGCAGTTCATTTCGAGTTCCGAGTTTTCACTTAATTTTTTGTCTTTTTTTTTTTTTACTTTTATGATTCACATTTTTAGCATTTCGCGGAAGCGAATCCTTTCTCTAAGTTATTTTTAATTTTTTGGGATTTTTCATGGGCTTCTCAGGATGATTTTCAGCCACTGCGTTTTGACTTTGCATTTGTTGGGTTTGACTTTACGACCAGGTTTTCGGTTGAGCCTCAGTCAAGGTCTGGACTCTAGAGAGAGGCTCAAGGTCGAGGCTGAGGCACCCCACCCATCTGTTATCCTACACGAAGTTGCAACTTTTCTAAGTCTTTACAACATTAAATAGTTTTTTTTATATATATTGAAATATCTGAAATACATTTTCGATCTTTCAATCAACTCATTATCATTAGATCCTCCCTGCTATTCAAATTAAATCATTTTCAACTTGGGAGAGTGTCTAAAAAATAGAACAAAACCGTTGTATCTCATTTGTTTGTTTGCTTTCCTTTTTTGTTGTGTGCTCAGTGCGCCCCTTTTCCGATTTTCCTGTTGTGCAATTCACTTTCATCAGCCGTCTGTCTCGAATAAAATCAAAACAGTGCCGGGGAAATTTGCTCAACTTAGCCGTGCATCATTTAACTTTGAGCAGGAACGAGCAGAGTGGATTACACACATGAAAGGGCATACAAAAAGATACTTCGTATCTGTATCTTTTCTCGGTGGAAAACGGAAAACTGGGGAGGGTTAACCTGAGGAGTAATCGAAACCCGTCAAAATGGCAAACACAACAATGCGTCTTAGAAACGAGCTGAAAAGGAGGAAAGGTCCTTAAGCACATTACACGATCGCCGGAGATGTTCACATGTGTATCTGTATCTGTATCTGCATCTGTATCTGTATCTTGATCCGAGTCCGAATAGGTATCTTAAGGATCAGCTGCCTCCTCCTCTTCTTCCTTGTGCAGATTATTATTAGCGCAACATTAACGTCAAATTACGCATCTATTTTGCGCACTTTATCTCGATCTCTCTACATGCCACATATCCCATAAAAAGCGGTGGAACA